GGGGGGTTGAGAGCCGCTCGTCATGCAACAGGATGGCGACAGGAGGTGGCTGGACGCTGCTGGGAGGGAGCCAGGCCAGTGCCAGTGTTGGCTGCCAGACCCACCATGAATGCCTCCGCCAGGGAACAGCGAGGGAGGAGTGGGGAACAGCCCTCAAGCTCCTCTGCCTGCGGACATGGGGTGGGTTTTGCTTCACAAATCCTGGGTCCTTTTCTGTGCTGGCCCCAGCCTTTCTGCTGTGAATGCTCTCACTGCACGTTGCTTGCTGGGTCAAAGCTTGCCTCGCTCCATACTTTCTAAGGGGCTTCCTACAGTCAGGCTGGTTGTACATGGAAACATGTTGCTCGTTTCTCCTCTTCTGCTAAGCTGTCCGCTGCATGTGGGGGTGTCTCCGGAAGGAGATGTGTAGCACTGAACCTTTAACTGCTTGCTGTCCCTGCTAAACGTTGGAGACTCCCCTCCGCTGTGCATGGTGTAGAAAAGGGATGATTGCACCAGCTGTGGGTTTTTTTGAGATAAAGTTTAAAATCCACAAGGCAGAGTAGTCCACCGCAACTTCCCTGACACACTGGAGTTCAGCCCCAGGGCTTGCTTGGAGGATCGAAGAGCAGCATCTAAGCTTGTCTCATCTGTTGTCCATGGAAGAGGGGATGAGGGTGGTGGTGGGTGATGGTTTTTGAATCTCCTGGATGATGAATAGAGACCAAGACCTGTGTTGTTTCACAGCCTCCTCCCCACCTGCCCATCCCCACCACAGCATCTGCTGCTGCTCTAAGTGCTGCGGTATGTTTTGATGATATCTTTGATGGCCCGTCTGCAAATGGGGCAGCAAGCGTTGGCCATCTTCTTGAGCTTCAGCCCACATGAATAGCAGAGACACATGTGTCCACAGGAGTAAATGACCGTGTCTACCATGTTCTCGTAGCAAATGGTGCATTCATCTCCCCAGGGCCCTGCGACGGACGGGGACATGGGTGACTCAGGCAAGCTGATGGGAGAGTTGGGAGCTGTGCCTGAAACACAAAGAACAGGGTCACTCATGCTGCTTAAAAGGCTTCTTGACATCCCAGGGTAATGTCTGCCCTGAGGCCAGCTACAGAAGGAGGAACCATGCCCTAGCAGAAATGGATGCTCCAGGACCAGGGGTCCTTCCTGTGACCTACCGTCCCACTCACTGAGCCCTGGTTCACATGCCAAGGCTCAGGGCAGCAGAAAGGCAGGATCTGCTGCCCACGTAGAGCAAACCAAGAGGCAGCTGTTCTCATGCAGCAGGGACAAAGAGCAGTTTCACATTTTCAAACTGCTGTCTAAACATTAACAAAGGAGGAAAAATCAGGAGGGGCGGATCAAGCCATCTGCTTTGAAAAGGGAGAGGCCAGGTGGCACACGGTGGCAGCAGCTCCCAAGATAAGCAATGCTTCATCTCTAGGGCCAATCCAGGGATGGGGGACCACAATGCCTGGCTACAAATCACCCTGTGTGGATCCTTCAGGACAGGGGCGGGGTGGTACCCACATGGACAGCATCGAGCTCAGAGCGGGTACATTGCTTCGAGAGATATGAGGGGCTGCAGTAATTATGCTCGTGGCACACCTGTAATGAGGCTTCCCCAGTGAAGCCAGAAAAGGTAGCAAGATAATGAGAAAATTTCTATTTTTTTTTCCCCCAAAGCCATTAAAAATCTGAACATTTGCCGTCACCAGTGATTAGACTTGACACTGATAGGTACCTTCAGCAAAAAACACTCTTGGTTTGGACAACAATGACAAGGACTTGGTAAGTTACATATCCCACCATCAATGCCCTGGGATCATGCAGGTCCGTGGGGTTTTAAAAATGCTGCAGAAGAGCCTATCATTTTCTACTGCATGTACATTTATCTAAATCTCACTGGAATTCATTAGCATATTAGACATACCAATACTGCCTTTTTCTGAAAAGGGTACTGTAGGTGTGTGGAGAGGGAAGGGGGGCAGTAGGCATACCCATAACTCCAGTCTAAGCTGGCGTGCAACATCTCACTGCCACACAGCTCTCCAGAAGGAGCTGTGCGTCACAGGGCCATGCACATAACAGAAACTGCTGCCTCCCTTGGGACCTTTCATGATGAAAAGGATTGGAGAAATATTGCTGTCTAGGCATCTAAGTGGCTTCCACATAAAACAGACTGAAAATAGACTTTGCAGAGGCTCTCCCTTCCTCCCTGAGGGAGCTGACAGGAGACTCTGTTGATCATTGTGGTTTTAGAGTCCTTCTGCAAGACAAACCTGAGACCATGAAGGGAGGCAGCGCAGGAGGAGGCAGAGGGAGGCAAAGTAAAGGCAGAGGGGGGGATCCCACCACACTTACCACTGACAGAGCTGCAGAGGGGGCCAGAGCCACATGTAGACAATATGGGGTCAGAGACGCCGCTGCAGAGGACGGTGGGGGAACTGGGCGTCGAAGTCGGTGAGCTTGGTGTTGACAGCCCCAGCCGCTCGGCTAATATGGTGGAACCTGCACCACGAGAAAAGAAACCCACAGTTACTTTTAAAAATTGGGGCTGACAAGGCACTGGGGATATGTGGCAGGGGGTGCAGCTCTCAGCACTGGTCAGGATTTCATCAGCATGAAATCTAGGGAAGAGATAAACAGGGAAAAAAACCCTTATATGCCTTTTTAAATGCTAGCAGCTGGCCCTGAAGAGAGATTGAGCTCCCACAGCCCCTGAAATTTGCTGGAGCTCCTTTAGGCATCATAAGCCTGTTTCTGCCCTTAAATGTGTCTCAAGTCAGTAAGTGCAGCTGCTTTCCTTATGGTTTCATGCTCATATGCACCCTCAGCACTATATCCAGCGATGGGCTTGTAGCCAGTAGAGGACACAGCCTGCAGTAGGGTGGGCTGGACTCCAGCACAAGAACGTATCACCTTGTCAAAGCACTCTATGCTAACGCAGCGCAAAAATGCATCATCCCAGGCTCTGACAAATTCATGCAAAGTCACTCAAGGACTTCCCAGACACAAATAGGGATTGGCAATTGGGAAAAGTTACCTCTGCGCACTGCTCTGCCTCTTTTGTAGGTGGCCTCTGTCAGAGGCAGGGATAGCAGGTGAGCACAGAAATCCGGGTAAAAACCACTTCAGGCCAGCCAAGAGACAAGTCACCAAAATGCATTTGGCTCTGGGCTGAACAAGGACACCTCTCCCCTCCCAAACAGGAATGACTTCTCCACTCCCCGCATGTCTGGATGTGATGGCTCAACAGTGCAGAGCCCCTTCAAGTCCCCTCTAGGTGTCCCCAGCTCCACCACCTCCTGCTCTCACTGCCCACCATCACCTCTGTGTTAGTGTGCTCTGCCAGAAAAGCCAGCTCTGCCCCGCAGCCTGCTTGGCACCCATCCTCTGTCTCAGCCTCTTTTCTTCTGCTGTTATCATAACAAGTATCTTAAAGCCCCTTCCAGAAGGGAAAAAAATGGGAATGCTTAAAACTCTAGCTGCTGCAAAGGTTTTGTAAGGAAATTTCATTGTTAACAATGCAGCCTGGTCTTCAGTAAGACAGCAGTGACACAGCGGCATACACATGCATGAACCAAGGCATGGTTTCTTAGTGGTAAGAACTAGTTTGCCTATGGTTTTAAAGTTAAAGTTTCTAGTTCCCCAGCTGAGAAGACAACCAGGGTAACTCCAAATCAGAACTAAAATGCTAAGACTTCTTCATGTTACCATATAAGGAGCTGAGAGACACAGAGGGTTTGGATCCGCAGCGTCTTCGATGAGTCGGAGGCTGCTCTCCAGAGAGAAAGCAGCAGTAGGAGGCCAGGAAAACCCCGTGCACCAGAAAGGTCCTTCAGTTCCTATTTGCAGGGAGGCTACTGAGCCAAGGAAGACCAAACCTGGGAAGCAGGGACTCCAAGTGCCAGCTGTGGATTGTGCAAAAAAAGCAAAAGCACAGCAGCAGCCGATGCCAGATTCTCCTGCCCTTTTTAGCAGAACAAGACTGAGCAGTTTAAGTGTAGCACAGGGACTGGGGGGGGGTCATGTTTGGGTCAAAATCTCTTCTGAGGACTGCATACAGGAGAAGCAGCAATTCACTTCAGCCTTCAGTCCCTCAGTTTTACCCCTCTTTAAATGAGGAGAGCTTTGCTCACAGGCAAAATCTGAAGTTGAATTAGCCTCTATAAAGGGCTTTGGGGCTCTCACACTTGAGATGCTGTAGAGAGGCACCTCCTTTATCACACAGATGGGAGCTGAGGCTGGAGTTTAGCTCAGTAAATGCGCAAAGAGAATGATACAGCCTCTAATGGCAGCCACTAGCAATGGTCCTTCCCCTCCAATCTGACAGATGACCGTAGCAGAAAACTTGCCCTGTGGGTAACACACACTGTAAACAGGCCCAGCAGGGGCACAGATTTCAGCTCATTCACTGCACGCAGAACAAATACAAACACTGAGCAGCTGAACAAGTTTTTCAAGCCTTCCCTCTCCTCCCTGCAGCCTGGAGACATCGCTTCCATTAGGATGACACACAGCACATATTGCATTTCTAACACCAACCTGGTCATTTCATTAAATGCAAAATAAAGACTATTAAGAGCATCTTTTTCCAGACTAATAAGAGAATTTGGAGGTGCCCCAAGTGTCACAGAGTATGAGCTGATGAAGCATGCCTGCAGCAGTGCAAACGGCCTTTCCACAGTGCAAGGAGAGCTCATCACTGCAGAAACCACAATCTTCTCTGGTCCAAAATGGCCTTACCCGAGACCCAGGGCCCAGCACACCCCTTCCCAGTTCTTTCTCCTAACAGAAGAGGCAGCTCTTGACTTCTCTCCAGCGTAAGCACAGCGCTTTGTTTAAGACAATCTGCGTTCCCTACCAGACAAGACACACTTCTCCCTTGGTGACAGAATAATCAACGTAAGACACATTACTCACACTGTTAATATATTGCTGGATGGTGTGCAGATACCATGACAAGGAGCATGGAATGAGATCATGTGCAGGGTGGAATGAGTGTGGCCAGCTTGGCTTAACTAAAACCAGATATATGTGCTCAAGGCCAAACATGTTCTTTGTGTGCTCAGAGCTTCCACCAAGACCTAGCTTTCAAATCATGATTTTAAAACATTAAATAATTCTAAATAAATCAATTTAAATAATCATTTAGAAACATTCTTCCTCTCTGTAAAGCGCACAGATAAATTGTCTCTGCTGCTAACTTGTCTCATGCTTGATCTCAAACACACTGGAATCACCTTTAAATGGATTTTGAATCAATTCCATTTGCTGTTTTATCTTTGCAAAGTCCAATTATTAGCAAAATCCAATGCAGACTGACTCTTTCTCTGTACTTCTGTCATCACTCTGGGAGAGGTGCAAATAAACAAACCTGTATGTCCACCCACAAAAGGAAAGAAAGTATTATACTTTCAGTAGAAAAGAGTATTACCATGGAATGTACAGACAACATCATGCCAGGAAAGGCTGCTAGTACGCTAAAGGTTTGTAATTCAAAATGGTCTTGCCAAATTGGAAACAGGATCAGAAATAAATGGGATGGTATTCAATACAATCAAATGCAAAATGCAGCACTTAAGCAGAGATAATCAACTACCCAAATACAGGACAGGGAATTAGTCCATTCAATTACAAATACAGCTGTCCTACAGAAAAAGGCCTGGGGATTGCTGGAGGTCACCAGATGATAATAAATCAACAATGCCGTCCTCTTATGAAAAGGTTGCGCCAATCCGGGTCATATGAGGCTGGTTAAGGACTGGAGCAGGAGCCTGGAGGCACTGTGGTATCTCTGTCCCTGGAAATACTCAAAACTCGACTGGACATGGTCTTGTGCTAACTTGGAAGTTAGCCCTGCTTTGAGCAGGAGGTTGGATTAGATAATTCCCAGGGGTCCCTTCTGACCTAAAATGTTGTATGATTCTATGATTTTAAGGTGGCAACATTTTTCACAGGCTGCTAAAAGGAGAGAAGAAACAATCTGTTCTTCATCAAAGTTTGGATAAGACAAGAAATCATGGGTTCGGACTCCTAAGGTATTCAGGTTAGACATTAGGTAGATAGTGAAGCACTGTAAAGCAATCAGTTTTCCCAGAGAGACTATGGCATCTCCACTATTGGAGCTCTTTAAGAACAGGAAGGTGAAGTAGGTAGTCTCTTGGAATCCCATCCAGAATTTCTGATTTTTATGAGAGTAGTTATCTGTATCCATAATTGCCCTTTTATAGAATGTCCTAACTGTGACCAAAATACAGCAGTTGTGGCCCTCAGAGACGCTTTTGGCTCTCTGTGTCTATTGTGGTGAACAGGGTGGTTTCCCAGAACATTGCAATCCACTCTCAGGGGATGTCTCCTGAGGCGGTCCCAACTTTTAAGCAGACATCTTTTTGCTCATCTCTCTTAACAGCAGCTGTCTGGGGAGAGCTGTGCCACTGAAGGATTTACATTGGTAAGAAGGCCAGATACAATGTCAATACTCCTTAAAAATACAGAAAATTTTCAACTAACTCTTCCCCTTAATTCATTTATAGAAATATTATTTCTACATTTCTTTCTCATAACAAAGTGATTATGTTGAACTGCTTATTACTCTGTAGACCCCAGAAAGAGAATCAGAAAACAACCACAATAAAAAAAACACAGGTGGGAAGAACAATGTGCTGTCTGTATTCTCCTTCTGAGCACGCTCAGGGGCATGTGCTATGATGCAAGTAAATCCCCAGGGCATCCTAGAGCAGGAGTAGCTGCCACGAATCTGTTCTGCAGCTATTCCCACCCCATTGCTAGCAAGCAGTATATTAAGACTCCCAGACTCAAAGTACAGCTGAGATGGAGAGAAAAGTAAAGTAATGCCAAAGAGCATGTTCCTTCCTTATTACTGTTGACTTTGGATCACTGAAGGCTGGGAAACTACCAGTTTAAGGTGTTCATAACGCATTTCTTAATCTGCTATCTATTCCTAAGAGAGGTGATAGAGAGGCAGGGCCATTCCTGGCACTCAAAGAGTGTCTGGCAACAGGCTGAATTCCATCAGATCATGAAAAACATCCATCAGCCACTGAAAGGTACCCAGTAACTTCTTGGGATTTGACCAGGGCATTCCTCATACTGTCCCAGTGTGGGGAGGAGTGTTCATGTTCATAAGGAGACAAAAGACTCTACCCATTTTACTAACTCTCTGTCTCCCTCTCTTATCCCTTTCCCCCTCAAAATTCAATTCAACATTATATAGTCCCATTGCATTGTTTCAGATCTTAACGCAAAAGGCCTGCAAGCACAATGTTTCCATCAGAGCACTGGGACTGTCCTCGTGGAAGTCTTGCAGAAACCAGGCTCCACAGGCTGAAAATGTCTTTCTGCTTTGAAGTCTAAATGTGGTATTGCATAGTCCGGAGACTTTGCTTTTAAGGAAGAAAAGAAACAAATGAGCAATACCTAGTGTTTGCTGACTACAAACAGGAATAAATATTATGACTTCTGCCCCCAGAATGCTTTCTGGCAAT